CATTGTCTCGAGAAACCCAGTTTTATTGGCATTCTTTCCCTTTGCAAAGAAAAGAGTTATTATGGGCGCCCTGGGGAGAGAATAAGGCAGTCAGTCCACACAGGACCAAAATCAGAGGTGGTTTTGCTGAAGACAACCTACCAAAAGTTTTAATATCGTGTACTATGTACTGTGATCAAAACAACCCACGGTCTATGTTTTTCGTTGATCAACTCACTGTTTAGTCCATCATTGCCCAAACCATTTTTATATGCCGAAACATATTACCCAAACTGCTTTTAAGATTATTTTTATCGTAGGTGACTGAGACTGGGTCAGCATGAAATCAGACCACCTCAGATTTAGGGATGGCTTGGCATGACACTATTATCAGTAGAAACAGCTGCATGGAAAAAATTTAAAAAATGCTTCAGAAAGTCTGATTCCAAGCTTCCCATGTACTTGGGTGTTTCCCAGAGATGGTAAACTCAGAAATTGCTGTGCACTCATCATTTTTTATTGCAAAATTCATTAAGCTGTTGTGCTATTATCATCCTATCTTGTCAAGATGATACATTACAGACTTCATTGCAAAACTTTCACAAGCAGGAGAAAGTACACCTCTCTCCTGACCATAGAGAAAGCCTCTGGGTATTTTGCTTTTGCCTTCCTCTTTTCTGTGTAAAGCTCCCCGTCTTTGCAAAACTTCCATCTGTCTGGCAACTCCCTTTTCTCCTGTTTGATCATGCGGAGAGAGAGCTCCCACCTTTTGGCTCCCTGAGGCATCTGGAGCTACCGTTAGAGAACAATCTTCTTCCCTCTTCTTTCTGCCCTCTCATCTTAGGTGTCATGGAAAGTTGGGATGTTAGCCTGCCTTCTGACAGACTTCCATGCACAGTGGGAAACCTTTCCCAGCCCCACCTTGATTGAAGAGCTGCGTTTCCTATTTACCCTGCAGTTCTGTGTATTCAGGAGGCCAGACATGTCCAGGCCTGCCAAGACGTGTGGATTTGGCTTGGCTCTGCATATGCCTTCTTGGCCTTGCCTCTGGGTTCTGTGATAAACAGAGATCCTGCCTCTCATGTGCGATGGCGTTGCCATTAGAGTGAGTGGAGTCTCTTGGTAAATATGGAAAGTGAAGTAGCTTAGCTCCAGATTTCCATGGCAACCCCCAGAACAAGTACAATATCACCAGAATTATTCTGCGGCTTTCCTCTTTTAGTTGCAGTGATTTGGGTGCATGCTCATGTTTTTCCACTCCTGATTTGTACAGAAAATAAAAACTCTGCCCACTGTCATCAGTATTTTGGTTTCAAGGACGTTAATGGTTCCTGTCTGAAGCACCTGAAAAATTCAGTCACACATAACTACCTCTTTCTGTTCCAGCAAATGAAATTTTTCATCGTGTGTTATTCCCCCTTATATTTATCATTTATCTCATAACCATTCATGGAGCTTTTGTGTAAATGATCCACAGGCAAGGCACCAGGAAGGTCTGGCTAACACTGACCTCAGAGTCACTGTAATGGTTGCCAGACACGTCCCTGCCCTGGGGTAATTGCGTCCTTAAGTATCAGGTCCACATCCACTTTGTCACTCCTGGTAGAACATGTGTTCATGAAAGTGTGACCAATGCATGTTTACAATTGTTGAGGGGTTTATTTTATTTTGTTATTTTCTCATATCTGGGCTCTTGTTTTCTGTGGCTAAATAAGGCAGGTATTCTCAGTAACTTCAGCTAGTTTAGGAATACTCCTGAGTGGTGGGCATTTTTTCTCTTTTTGTTACATAAACGGTTCTCTAGAATCTTGTTGACTTGACTCATAACTGGTTGTTATTCTCCTTTTGAAGCCCACTAGTCTATAATTTATTTCCTTCAGCAACGTAATTGCCATCAGTCCTTCTCATACCTTCTGATGAGGGTACCAGAGCTGGACTGAATCATCAGTGACTCAAAGTCCAGCTCTGTTATTTGAAGGATTTGATTAATTATTATTTTAAGAGAAAAAAAAAGTCTTCTGGGCTGCCTGGTCTCTTGCTTCTCTGCCAGGAACAGGTATTCATTTGCCTACCTGATCCCCATTCCCCCACCCCCCCAAATCCTGTTCTAAGTGACATTACTGAACCATTTTCTCCTCATTTCTTAATTTATTCCAAACCCTTTAGAATTAGAATATGAGTTTGCCATAACCACTGAAACATTGGATTTACTGTCATTTTTATTCTTCATCTTTTCTCTGCTCTGGAACAATCCTTACCCTCCTACTTACCTTCAGGAAAGATGGTCAGCATTTCAGCTTGGATATTCTTTTTTTTTTTTTTTTTATTAAATCATAGTTGTGCACATTAATACTATCATGGGGTATAGTGTGTTGTTTCCATATACAATTTGAAATATTCTCATCTAGTTGGCCAACATAGCCTTCATGTCATTCTCATAGTTATTGTGTTAAGACATTTATATTCCACATTTAGAAAGATTCACATGTACCCTTATAGGATAGATCATAAGCGTGATCCCAACAATCCCCCTCCCTTCACTCATCCTCTCTCCTGCCCTCTCCTCCCTCTCCCCTTTCCCCCTATTCTTGGGCTAAAATTGGGTTATAGCTTTCCTATGATACCTAACTATTAGTTTCATAGTAGGGTTGAGTACATTGGATTCTTTTTCTTTTATTCTTGAGATATTTTGCTAAGAAGAATATTTTCCAGCTTGGATATTCTACCTACAAGTTCTCAGTCTCATTATCTGTGCATCTATAATATAAAGATAATGGGACTTATTTTGTAGTTAGGGAGTATCAAGTTTCTGGATTTCTTTGTTGTATGGCCCAATGAGGGACACTAAAAAATAGTCTGCCTCTCTGGTTGTGTATTTGGGTATCTTGTCTGCAGAACTATGAACCTTATGATAAATGTTTTATCCCCTTTCCTAATGGAGAATATGAGAGAAAATGAAGGTTATGGTGATATTTTTAGAAACACTGATAGACTTTTAGCACAGTATTGTGTTTAGTTTGGAAAAACATAACCCTTCCATGGAGAAGTAAATAATCACAGGAGAAATATGAGCTATAGTTTTACTCTTCTATTTTCTAAGAATTCAGAGTATCATGTCATGCAAACTTGGTGCTTCCAACTTCTCAAACTAGCATTAATAAAACTGTTTTCTCTCCTTCCACATGAAGCAGAAAATGTCTCTGGTTGAAGCCCAAAATATCATCTTTACTCCCCTTCTTGGTCTTGGGCTCCCCACAATCTTACAGAAATGTTTGTACTTTGTGAAAAGGAAAATTTTCCGCACACTGATTCATACTGATAAATGGCACATCCATTCTCTCAATGATTGCCTAATTGTGTAATCGTAGTGTTGTTTTTCTTCCTGATCGCCGGTTCCCATTTACAGGCCCTGTGAGTCCTCCTACATCTTGGCTCAGTGTGCCTCTTACAGTTTCTCTTTCTTTGTTGTCATCTCTCTTTGAAACTTAAGCTCTTAAAATATGAGTAGTTCTAAATCTCAGGCATCAATTTAATAATCTACATTTTTCAAAGTCTACTTAGAGTTCAGGAATCTCTCAGTAGCTCACGGTTTATCTTTCCTGTGGACTTTATCCAGGACAGTAAGGATTTGCTCAGATATTTGGGGGGCTGGAGGGCGTGTGTGTGTATTTAGTGTGATGCTTACTCTAACATCATTTCACAAGCATACTTTATTTTTACAGACATGACTAGTGCAAAGGGAAGAGTATTTTTCTAACATCACTTCCTTCATTGTCTAAAGAGACCTGAATTCAAAGGTCGACCTCTGAATTATCATGCCAGTGATTCTAGTCTGTCCTCCTAAGGATATAGAATAACTCTAGCTCATTTCAAAAAGATCCAGTGAGGTTCAACCTAGATAATGATATTTAAGTGAATTAATCCCAAAACATCAGTTTATTTCAACAGGGTATCCCTGTAATGAAGGGGGGACAAGAATGACATTTCCAGTTTATAACATTTTGCTACAGCAGTGGTGCCTGTGCCATTTAGCTGAAACATCCCCCAAAATGTTTTTCAATGCATGGTTCCAAGTTTTTAAAGATAGGAAGAAACAGAAAGTTCTTTTCTTTGAGCAATATTCTAAAGTTTACAAAATACATTCCTGCGCATGATCCCACTTGATCCTCATGACAGCTCTGCAAGCTGTGGAAGCCAGTTCTCATTCTCCCCATTTTAGAGAATCCTTAAGCAAGAATCCACAACCAAGTAGAAATTACCTAAGGCTACACAGCCAGTCATGGGTGGAGTCTTGAAGAGAATTCAGGTTTCTATCTCTTAGCTTGGTAATATTCTCCAAGCAGGAACATGACTGCTCAGACTGTGGACTCAGATTTTTGTTCACATGCCGACTACTCTGCAGCCTATTACAGGTCTATTTATCAAAGAATAAACTTGATGTTCAACATCAAATACATGGAACTAGAGGCAACATGGAAGGATGTATCTGGGGAGGGCATTAGGAATTTAGACTGGCCAAGTCCTTAGGAAGTTTATGGCTAAATAGTAGATAATCTAAGGTGAGGGGCTGTGGAGTTGGAGATAGGACATGGCCTGATCATCGAGGGCAATACAAGAGGCAGGAGATTTAGAATAAAAGATGAGAGTCACAGAAGCCAAGGGAATCTGGTTGAATGCAAGGCGTCTATGAAGCTTGCTCTGTATTCTTGCCAATTGAAAGAAGACACAACTTAAGGTGCTGTGGTAGGACCACTCTTAGGAAAAACTCTGGCTTAGATTAAAGGGGATATATTAACTGTTAAGACGAGGAGGGGGTATTGCTCTGAAATTTCAAATCACTCATTCCCCATTGACTCTTCCTTTCCCACTTTTAATTCTTACCGTTTCTTTTTCCTTTCTTAAGCTTCTTTGGGATCAGAGATCTCAATCCAATTTCATTATTTTATATTTTTATGCATGTGGGAACTGACTATTGCAATGTAATAATACTAATGTGTGGCTTGTGCCCTTTTCCCCTCCAGAGGAACAAAGGAACAGCATCATCAATTCCAGTTTGGAATCTGTCTCATCGAATCCAAACAGCGTACTTAATTCCAGCAGCAGCTTACAGCCCAACATGAACTCCAGTGACCCAGACCTGGACGTGGTCAAACCCACTCGGCCCAACTCACTGTAAGTATGATGTCCAGTCACTTACCACATGAGGGCTTTGGTCAGCCATTCCACCTGGAACTTGTTCTCTGGCTCCATCTGACTTTGGGCCATTGTCCTGTGAACATTATTTAAACCTCCTCCCTAAACTTGGAGCTTGGCTGTTTTGTTTTGGGTTTTTTAAGCATTATCATCTTTGGGAGGGGTTGAGAATCATTCTTAACATACTGCTTCTTAGCTTTGGTGATCTTTGATTTACTGCCCTGCTGAGATGGCTTTGGTGATAGCTATTGCCTGTGCTGGCTGCTGGGCATGAGAAGCAATTTCTTTGAGTTTTACAAACATTCAGGGACTGTTGTCGCTCTGTAGATCAGGAGCCACGTGTTTCACTCATTCATATTGTCTCGGTCCCTTCCCCTGATTGTGTTAGGAATGTGCAGTGCTACTTCCATGTTCATGTCCAAAAGGACAAGTCCAAGGAGCCCTTTGTGTCTTCATGTTGTCAGACCTTAGCAGGATCATGAGCTCTTACCAGAGACTGGAAAAGAGAAGATGCTTTTTGCTTCATTTGGGAGCGCTGAGCAGCATAGCCAAGGCAGTCAGTTTGGGGGCTGGCTGTCTTATCCCCACGGAAATTAGATCTACTTTGTTAGGACCAAAAAGTTCTCCCTTGTGGTTCCATCCCACATTGCTTAGCATGCTTCTTCAGACCACCCCATAAATCTTGTCAACTAGAGCCTTTGCAGAAAGAATGTGAAGCCATGACCAGAACAGTTGGACTCTCAGGCTGAGTTATATAAGACTCAGGAAAAAAGAGAGTTGACTTTGCCTTTCTCTAGTGAAAATAGTTTGCGGTTCAGCCACAGACTCTCATCAGGGCAGTTGTTCACTTGGTGAGACACCAGCATGAGGATGAGATACCAGGATGTCAGCAACCTTTTCCTGCTCCTTTGCACACTGTGGTTGCTTGATGGCACCGTGCCCTTGAATCTCTTTAAGATATTTACAAATCTGGCCAGGCACAATGGCTTATGCCTGTAATCCCAGTACCCTGGGAGGCCAAGGCAGGATGATTGCTGGAGGCCAGGAGTTCAAGCCCAGCCTGGGAAAGAACCTATATCTAAATTATTTTTTTCCCCCTTGTTTGTAATACTTTTTTTTTAAATTTAATCATAAACACATAGATCATGTATACATTAATGCATTTATGGGGTACAATGTATTGATTTCATATAGAATTAGGAACACTTACATCACACTGGTTAATATATACCTCATCTCATTTTACTTATTGTGTTAAGACCTTTATTCTCTATACTAATAGATCTGACATGTACCCTTACATTATGCACCATAGGTGTGATCCCACCATTCACCCTCCCTCAATCTGACCTCTTACCTTCCCTCCAATCCCCCCTCCTCCCTCCTTCATCTTGGACCATAGTTGTGATCTAGTCTTCATATGAAACTGTGAGTGATTGTAAATTGGTTTCATAATAGTACTGAGTACATTGGATATTTTTT